GGGGGGTGGCGGCCGCCCGCCTTCTTGCAGAGGGCGGCCCTCCCGCTTTAGGTCCTGCTTGCCCGGCTGCGCGTCCGTCTTGGGGGTGGTGGGGGGCGTGGGGGGGCCCTGCGATTGCCCTGCGGAAGGAAGGAAAGGGCACGGGCGTGAAGGGGGTGTCACTCCCGTGATGGCCGGGCACCCCTGCGCCCACAGCTCCCCGAGGCGGGGAGTGCTGCCGGATGCGATAACACCATTAATAGTTAACCCACGGTCCGTGGGGCGGCCGGATAACAGCGCATTGCTTTTGAAAGCAATTGCGTAGGGTAACACAAACATCTCCAGGTGCGAGGAACGCAGATGTGAGCCCTATCAGTGCTGATCTATCACGCCGGCTAAAACTACCGAGCCCTCAGACATGAGCTGCGAGAGCGGGTGCATCTCTTGGTTTATTTTTTTTTTAAAAAGTATGCATTCATGTTTCTCATGGGCAGAGGGGGTGGAAGCGGCCACAGGGGCTGGCACACACGGGTGAGCGTTTGTATGCCTGTGCTACGAGCAAGGCTTGTGAGCAGCTCTGCCACTGTCCCTCTCCCAGTGCAGCCGTCCCCTTCTCACTGCATTTCTGGGTCTCTCTCCTTTTTTCCTCCCCTTACCCAATCCCAATTTCAGCCTGGTTTGGGATGCAACTTTTCTGAGGTAGCTGTGACTTAATCCCCTCCATTACACCTCGTGGGGCTGCAAGTACCTACCCGAGTGCTCCCCGGGGGAGTGCACCTCGCTGATGCTGGAGGACGACTGCGGGGAGTCCGCCTGCAGCGCCTTGAAGATGGCGTTGGGGGAGATGTGGGTTTGCTCGGAGCCCTCCTCCTGCTCCGACTGCCCGTTCTTCACCGACTTTCGCCGCCGCGGCTGATACTTGTAGTCAGGATGGTCCTTCTTGTGTTGCACCCGCAGCCGCTCGGCCTCCTCCACAAAGGGACGCTTCTCGCTCTCATTCAGCAGCCTGGGGGGGACATGGGGGAGGTGGGGGGCTGCA